TTGTGTAAGTTTCCTTCCATATTTTCTTCCATTTTTCTCATGGAAGAATGTTGAAGTTTGTCAAATGTCTTTTGGTGTCATTTGAGACTGTCACATTTTCCCTCATGTTTTATTAATGTACTGTCACCTAGATCTTCTTTCTTTCTTTTTGATTTTTTGTTTTTTGTTTTTGTTTTTGTTTTGTTTTGTTTTGTTTTAGATAGGGTTTCTCTGTGTAGCCCTGGTTGTCCTGGAACTTGCTTTATAGACCAGGCTGGTTTCAAATTCAGAGATCCATCTGCCTCCCAAGTACTGGGATTCAAGGCATGCATCATCACACCTGGTAAACCTAGATTTTCTTAATTGAACCATCTTTGATTTCTGGGATCTTCCTCTTTACAGTTTTATTTTCTCTCTCCTTTTATTTGGGCAGGGGCAGCATTTGAGATAGGGTCTCACCAGGTAACTCTGGCAGACCTGGAACTTTTTATGTAGACCAGGCTGGCTTTGAACTCATAGAGATTGGTCTGCCTCTGCCTCTCTAGTGCTGAGATTATAGGTGTGAGCCACCTGGCCGGCTACTTTTGAAGTTTGATGGAGTACATCACCCCATGGACTGTCACAAAATGAAAGTTTGAAGAGTTGGATGCTTGTAAATATTCTGCCTTCGTGGTTGATTGACAATCTCAAACTTGGGTACACAAGTCTCTTTCCTTCGACCATTTTTATTATCCTTTTTTTTCCTTGCTGATAATTGGTTCTGGGGCCTCACACATGGTAGATAGGCACATATTCTACCCCTGAGCTACATTCCCCGTTCTCGCTTTTCCTTTCAAACAGTTACGACACTGTTCCACTGTGTTCCTTCAGCAATTGCTGTAGAGAAACCTACTGTCGTTATTACTCATGCTCCTTGGTTTTGTTCTCAATGACAGCTTTCCTGTCTTTTGATTCTCATTACTCTGATATTTTACAGTAATGCCCTCCGGTACTATTCCTCTGTCCTGGCACTCAGTGTGACCTCTCAATTTGGAGACTAGCATATCACAGTTCTGTTTTACTTTATTTTATTTTTTTATTGTATGGATGTTTTGCTTGCATCTGTGTCTGCAAATCTGGTACCTCGAGGAGGCCAGAAGAGAATGTTGGCTTCTCTGGAACTAGAGTTACAGATGCCTGTGTACATGAACACAGGTCCTTTGTGTCTTAGCCACTAAGCCATCTCTCCAGTCCCTAGTTTATTTTTTTATGAATATAATTCCATCTTTGACTAGACTGCTGATTTTCAAATGTTTTTCCAATTTTCATCTCATTGTCTTTGTCTGTTTGGAGACAGGCTAGCCTTGAATTTGTGCAATCCTCCTGCCTCTGCCTCCTGAGTGTTAGGATTACAGGTTTATAGGATTGCAGCCACCATGCCCACCTCCCTGTATTCTACTTCCTAGGAGATGTCCTCACTTCTAACTGTTGAACCTTGTATTAAAATTTTATTCCGGCAATTACATTTTAAAGTGCCAAATGCTTTCCTTATGTGTCAACGTCTCTTTTATTGTAGCCAGCTGGTCAAGGATTGGCTTCTAGGAAGAAGAACCAACTTTTCCACTGTGACAGGAAAGGAGGACAGATGTGGGTGAAAGACACCATGTAGATGAGGTGGCAGGGAGGTGCAAGTTTTGTTTCCTGGGATGTAGATGGTGAGGCAGTAATGGTATAGGAGGCTTGAGGAACATGTAAAGGATAGCTGGAGCCAAGCTCCCTAAGGCCCAGCTACCCTTAGAGAGCCACGGGAGTTCAATTCACAGATGTTGGGGACCGACTCCGGACAGCTGTGTCTTGAACCTGTGTAACCTTCCACGATTTATCAAGCCTCGTGTAAATAGGAGGCTTTTAGTCTAACCTAGGAATGTACTAAATCAGCTAGCTGCAGGGGTCTGGGACCAAATCGACCTCCTGCTGACCCTCCCTTAAGATTTTTCTTTGTCCTCTCCTCACTCCTCCTGCTCCCCCTCCCTACCTGAAGCCCTGTTTATAAGCTCTAACACCCAGTCAATAAACGAGACCTTGACGCAACTCAGACTGACTCTGTCTTTCTTCACGCGCTTGGTCTCCTTTCCCTCTCGCCCCCCATTGATTCACAGGTGGTCCCTCCTCGAGACCCTTGAATAACCTGGCCTGCTGGACGGGTCACACAGACACCTGAGGCCATCGGTCTACCTTGACATCAGTCTGTCTGTCCAGTCTGTTAAGTTCCTGCTCCAGAGGAGGAGGCTGAGTCTTGGACAGCTCCATGGTTAGTATTCTTCTAGTCAAGTAGTTTGGAAGGGCAGTTGGGCAAAGGAATGAAAGATTTTGAAGAGATGACCACCATGAGCCCATGACATTCCTATCATGTTTGTACCTGCATGCACACTCTGGTGACTGTAGAGTCGAGCCCTCCAGGCTGACATTTCTGCACCAGACAGCTGCATGCTAGTTTTAAAACTGGAGGAGTCATTGAATTCTCTGGCCTTGACCATTTATATAAAATGTCAAGCTATCAGGCCCTGGGAGTTCTTATTATTTACATTTTTTTTTTAATTAAAGAAATTAGGTATGCGTGTGCTTATTTGTATGTGGATGGGTGCACATATCTGGGTAAGTGCTATCTGGGTGAGTGCACTGCACACATGTAGTCAGAGGAAAAAAAAACAAAAACAAAAACCTGTGTTAGTCCTGAGGCCTCAGGCCTCCTTAAGCAGCCTAGATGAGCTGGCTAGTACACTTCCAGGAACTTGAACTTAGATCTTCAGCTTGCGAGGTAGGTATTTATTGACTGAATCATCTCTCCAGCCCTGTGGTTTATACTTTTTTTTTTTAAAGTGGAGATTTATTTATTCAACAGGTATTTATTGAATACATACTTTTCTGTGCCAAACAGTTATTTTATGTGTTTTCCTTGGATGTGTGTCTGTGTGGTGTGTGCATGCCTGGTGACTGAAGGGCCAGAAAAGGCTGTCAGATCCCCTAGAACTGGAGTTACAGTTGTGAGTTGCCAGGTGGGTGCTGGGAATTGAATCTGGGTCTTCTGCAAGAGCAATCAGTGCTCTTAACCACTGAGCCATCTCTCCAGCCCCAGTTGATTACACTTTTAAGACAAGCAGGTGTATAATCATTAAACAGTTATCTGATCTCTCTCTCTCTCTCTCTCTCTCTCTCTCTCTCTCTCTCTCTCTCTCTCTCTCTCTCTCTTCTTTGTTTTTGAGACAGGGTTTCTCTGTGCAACAGCTCTGACTGTCCTGGAACTCACTTTGTAGACCAGGCTAGCCTTGAACTCACAGAGATCTGCCTGCCTCTGCCTCTCAACTACTAGGATTAAAGGTGTGTGACACCACGGAGTGGCTCTTTCTTTTTTTCTTTGTGATAACACCTCATATATCTCAGACTAGCCTCAAACTCTCCATGTAGTAAAATGGCCTTCAGCTTCTCATCTTCTTGTCTCCATCTTCCCAGTGCTGGAATTGCAGGGGTACACCCACAGACCAGCTTCATGTGGTGTTGGGGATCAATCTTGGGCTTCCTGTGTGCTAGATAAGCATTCTACTGAACAGCTCTGCCCTCAGCTAACATCAAATCCTGTAGCTCCATATCTGGAATCTGGAGCGCTTGGAATCATCAGGGCTCTTATAGCCTTCAGTACCCCGGCCTCTCCTGCTCTGCTGCCTGCAACACAGATAACCTCTCTCTTAGCCTAGTTCTACTTCATACCTGCAGCTTTCCTTAGTGGACACCCTACAGCCCTCAAAAATCCTGGTGTCTTCATTGTAATTTGGGTCCACACTTAGATTCATATAATGGTGATCAGGCCCTCCTTTCAAAGAACCTGCTCTACAGCACTTTGCCCAGTCTCAGCAGCTTTCAGGAACCTTGGAGCAAGCTTTCTCTCTCTCTCTCTCTCTCTCTCTCTCTCTCTCTCTCTCTCTCTCTCTCTCTCTCTCTCTCTCTCTCTCTCTCTCTCCCACTTTCCCTCCCTCCCTCTCTCTCTCTCCCTCCCTCTCTCCCTCTCTCCCTCCCTCCCTCCCTCTCTCTCTCTCTGTGTTTTGTTTTGTTTTGTTTGGAGACAGGGTTTCTTTATGTAGTTTTGGTGCCTGTCCTGTATCTCCTCCCTCTATAGATCAGGCTGGCCTCGAACTCAGAGATCCACCTGGCTCTGTCTCCTGAGTGCTGGGATTAAATGGCCTCCACCACCTGGCTCACTCTTACATCTCTTATGCTTGCAAAACCAATGCTATGTGGATGATCCTGCCAAGTTCCCCTGTCAGCCTAAGATACAGTCTGGCCCACTTTTACCACGACCTCTGTACACCTTGGTGGCAGACTCTGAGGATACTTTCCTAGGCATTTGTTTCTAAGCATGGAATCCCTTCAACAGTGTTCTACATTTGGCTTTCTCCTTTCAATACATTTTTATTTTTATAAACTGGATCTATTTAAGTATAAAATTCAGATTCTTTTTTTTTTTTTTTTTTGGTTTTTCGAGACAGGGTTCTCTGGGTAGTTTTGATGCCTGTCCTGGATCTCGCTCTGTAGACCAGGCTGGCCTTGAACTCACAGAGATCCACTTGGCTCTGCCTCCTGAGTGCTGGAATTAAAGGCGTGTGCCAGCCACCACTGCCTGGCAAAATTCAGATTCTTTAGGACAGTGGTTCTTAACCATTCTGATGCTGTGACCTTTAAATACAGTTCCTCATATTGTGGTAACTCCCAATCATAAAATTATTTTCATTGCTATTTCATAACTATAATTTTCTACCGTTATGAATCGTAATGTAAATATCTGTGTTTTCCGATTGTCTTAGGCGGCCCCTGTGAAAGGGTCTTTTGAATCACCAAGGGGGTTGCGATGCACAGGTTGAGAACCAGTGCTCTAGGACCTCTACCCAGCAGCTGAGGGAAGAATTGGTCTCCTCAGACATTGCAGCACTGATGTTCACCTGTGTGTTCTGGGCATTTCACCACAAAAAGAGACACAGACTCTGGCTACAGACTGTTCAATGATTTGAATTTATTTGTGTTGTTACAATACACAGACAAATCATACTGCATTTTCTTTGTAATGTTTCCTCCCTAAAGAATCACTTTAGTTTAAACCAAAGGATTTTCTTTAAGAATGCACGCGTGCACAGACACACATAGACACACACAGACACATACAGACACACACACACAACAAGAACAAAAATGTAACCCCATCACAGTGCATGTAAACGAAGGTGGAAGCAGGCTTCATTTTCAAACTCTGGAACCATTCTCTCTGTCTTAGAAATTAAACAGAGAGTTCATCCCTGTCTCAGGCCAGGGCTGGGCCGAGGCTGGACAAGCCTGCTGGGGACAAAGTGTAAGTGGTTCATGTTGCACAGGGTGCCAGAAACAGCCACCCACTTCCTCTCCTCCTGTGCTCCCGGGTCAAGGTGCAACAGTCTCATCTGGGGACCCAGCGGGTAGTGGAATGGTCAGAAGGCAGATTTCTTTGGACTTCTTTAGGATTTGCTTTCTTTCCAAAGAGTCTGACATTAGTACAGAAGAGCTGAGGCCTCAGAGTCGGGAGGCCTGCGAGTCCTCTTCTCCAAGGCCGTTAGTCCATCTGGCCTTTCCCACAGGCATCTGTTAACGGCAGAGCTGCATGGCAAAGGCTGTCGTCCCCCTCCTTGGGAGCCGTGTGGTCTCACAGCCCCAGCCAGGAACACAGAACATGTGCTGCCTTCTCAGACTGCTCAGTGACACCACGGACTGAAGACCAGAAGGTGGCAGGTTCCACAGCAACCCGGACAGCTGAGATAGCAGACTCCCAGCAAAGGGGCAACGATGTCACATCTGTCAACCTAACCCTCCTTCCCCCTTGGCTGCTCTTGCCCGGTGTCATCCCAGAAAGGTTCTGCTCAGAGTTACCCTTGAGGGCTGAAAGGGAACGGCAACCTGAGGCTCTGTCGACGCCAACTGGATGTTAAATGGCTACCTCCCAGAAGCTGTCTGGACTAGGGAGGGGAGGTCCCCAAAGGGCTGAAACAGGAAATCAACAGAACTTTTGGTTTCTCACTTCTGAGGAAAGAATAAAGCTTCATAGCTTAACAATAGCCCTTAATATTCCCAACACTGTACCTCATCCCTGCACCTGACAGAAACTGCTGAGTGACCAACATGTATGTACACACACACATACTCACACACATACACCACATGACTTACAAGTGTACTGGACTGGGAGATGACCCTGCTCTTCAGTCTGCAGGCCCACCTCAGCACCAGATGAAGCTTGGCACTGGCTTCCACGTATGGGCGGAGTGGCTCCTGCTGGGCTCTGGTGCTCCCCACTTTGGCTGGGAGGTGTGTTTGGCAGTAGTTGAGTGGGGACTGAACCTCCACTTGGACAGAAAGGTCCAAGGCCCAGAGGCCCAGCGGGGACCCAGTTGGCAGTGAGAGACAGTCGGAGAGTGGCAGGAAGGGCATAAGAGACCAGAGAGTTCAAAGACAGGAGAGGAACCCTTCCAACTCTCTGCTGTAGGTGGTCTTTGTTAGCCTCCAGGGCAAAATGAGAAATGTTTAAGGGGCAGGGTGATGTCACAGGGGTTGGGTGCTACACAGTGCTACACTCTCCGGGCAGGAGGCTGGACTGGCAGAGGCCTCTCTGGCATGTGTAATATCTTGGCTGGGAGCCACAGACACAGCTAGGATGCTGCCGCCACCATGCTGTCTGGAGCTAGCCACCCCTCAGGCCCAAGACTGCAGTGTGCCTGCCATCCTAGCCCGACTGCCTATCAGCCCAGACTGCCTCTTCCCGACACGCAGCAGACTCTATCTGCTGGTGTGTAGGCAGCATCAGAGAACCCGGGCTCCATTTGTTTTAACATAAACTCCAACTATCTGCTCCCTCTGCTGGAACTAAGCCCCGGAACTGGCCACCCCACTGCTGAGTGGTCCTCAACTGTTCAGGAAGGTAGGTGCCTTAGCTCCGGATCTCCGCCTAGAGGCAAAAGAGGAAAGACAGCCAGAGGCTCCCAGTGGGACGCTCTCATATTTCCGAGACTTACTCATCTACAGGAGAAGAGCCACGGGGTCTGGCTGGACCATGACGGGGGCTGCCCAAGAACTGGGCAGCAGAGGAAGGGTACACACACAGCCAACAGTGGAAAGGGAGGAGGCACCTTTTATGTATAAATATGTATGCCAAAGTCATGGTCACCTCTTTGTAGGAGGAGAGGGGCCGAGAAGAAAGCACAAAGAGATGCCCCAAAGGACCCAGGTCTGAGCAGAGGAGGCCTACTGGACCCAGCTCCTCCTAACTCCTAAGAACCAAGGTGGTTGAAGACGCAGGCTGTCCTAGCCAGGATGCCTGCATTCCTTTCTGTCATCAGGCCTCCGTTCCGTCACACCCTCACTGGGGCAAAGCGGAGACAAATGGACTCCAGGACTGAGGGCCTAGACTCCCTTGCCCAGGCTCCTCTGCTCCCATACACCTTCTGAGAAGGGCCAGGCCTAGTCAGACCGAGAGGACAGGGGTGCAGGAAAGGAGCACCGTCTGAGGAGGGAGCCCAGCCAGGGTGGGAGGAGGGCCCACCTGGACAGTCACTTAAAGGTGTCGTCAGTGTTTTTGAACATGAGAATGGCGTTATAGATCTTCAAGGCTGGGCCCAGCTTGACACTCATGATCTTCACAATGTCCGCCTGTGTCAGCAAAAGGAAGGCCTCGCCGTCAATCATCTGAGGGGGGCAGGAGAGGGAGGAGGAAATCGGAGGAGGAGGAAAGGGTGGGCAGGGGGGAAAGGTGGGTATGGGGAGGGGAGAAGGGGCATGTGGCAGGTGGCAAAGGACGGAGGGGGCGGGGCAAAGAGAAAGGACAAGGGAGGGAAAAAGGAGAAAAGGAAGACAGCCATGGGGATGGAGAAGGAAAGCAAGACAGCCTGGCTCCGGTGTCCGACACAGAGTTTCTCTTTCTGCTGACTGCGCTGTGTCAGCATCTATACTGGAAAATCTTCTCTGAAGCCCTTATAGACAGTAGCTTCGAGAAACCAGCTGCCGCTGTACAGTTGTGGGGCTTCCTACTTAAGTAAAAACGTGGAGCTCCCTGTTTGGAAGTTATTAGGAACCTAGTGACAGCTGAGCACAAAGCCCAGCGCCAGGTTCTTCTAAGCACAGGGCCCAGGGAGGCTGCACAGGAAACCAGGCAGGCTTGTGGTCGAAGCAGTTTCATCCATGAGTCATCCACTTCAAAAATGCTGCCTGGACTCATTTTGCTACCTGGGTTACAGCCTCCTTATCTACACATGTGATCTAGCATTTGTGAAATGCCTGAAGTCAAAACAAAGCAAGCAAAGACAAGAGACACCGTATTGCAGCCCCGTGGGAACCCACCAGTCGTCTGAGTGCTACTGATGGCGAGCAGGGCAGACACGGCACTTTGAGGGCCACAGTGTGGGGTGCACGGTTACCTCCGACCTACTCCTGCCCCCAAAGCAGAGAGCTAGAGAACACTGGAATCTAACGAAGCCTTTGGATCTGGTTTCTAGTTTACAATTATTTATTTCGTGTATGCATGGGTGTGGGTGTGCATGTGGATGTGTGTGTGTCCCTACATGCATGTGGGAGCCAGAGGACAATTTTTGGGAGTCAGCCCTCTCCTTCCATCATGTGAGTCCTGGGGTTCAAACTGAGGTCTCTAGGCTTGGTGTCAAGCACCTGCACCCACTTAGACAACTTTGCTAGTCCTGACTTCTAGACTTTTAACATGTCAGAAGAAAAAATAAAATGACAAGGAAGGGAAAAAAAGGGGGGTACTATCCTAGAATGGAAGATATTTAAGGGCTATATAACACCTGAAATAATTGACGTGGGCCTCACTTGGCTCAAGAAGGATTTTTAAAAATGCTCTGAGGTAACAGAAAATGCAGATGTGGGCAGGGTGTGGATGACCTGAGGAGCTACCACTGATTGCTGGCGCAGTGACAACATTGTATAAAAAGTCACGAGTCCCAGTACTCGGGGTGAAACATGCTGGTGCTTGTAATTTACCTCAAACAACCTCATCTCACGCCAGACAAAGCAAGTGTGTGACGGGCTGCCCAGTGCACACGCCAGTCAGGGAGGAGAGAGTCAGTCAGGAGGAGGAAGTGAGATGGAGGAAACAGAGGAGGGAGGCTGTATTTTCTAAGAACAGACTTAAGCATCCAGGCTACCCATTTGAGAAGGCCTGGCGGATGTGCCAATTAAGCTTAACTACCACCTTTCCCAAATCTTTCTTCTAGTTCCAGACCTCCCTTTAACTATCACCAGAGGCATCTACCTGTACACAGGTTGCCTAGCGACCGAGCACACCTTCCCCCACCCTGCAGAAAAAATAGCAGATAGCTTGGACAGATAGGAGCCACAGGAAAAAAGAAGGCAGTTTTATTTTCTCCCATTGACCTAGCAACTTATAAATTCTTAACATTTTCTACCAACCACGTTTAAGGTTATAGTTGAGCATATAAGATCCCTCTTCTTAGATATTACCTGAATTTAGCCTTTATTTAATTCATTAGTCACTTCCCTTTTGGGTTGCAAATGATAATTAACAATTACTGTCCCTCTGTGTGATTCTTATCACCCCTCTGTTTGACCCTGGAAGCCTGGTAGTCACTGCCTGAGGAAAATTCTTACCTTACTTTATGACCCTGTAGAATTCAAGCCTGGCGACCTTACTTGACCAGGGGACTGCTATTGCTTGGGTTTATAACTGGACTCCTGAGAGACTTGGGGAGGACAGAGAGATGGAGAACGGAGAGGGATAAGAAAGATTTTGACCAGAGAGTACATGTGGACGAGATGGAAGATGAGGAAGAATCAGATGAGGAAGTATTAGCTGGGTAAGAACAAGATGAAAAGGACCTAGATGAGGCAGAATTAAGATGAGAAAATTAAAATAGAACTTAGAAGGAGCAGTAAATAAATATAGAGAGAAATCAGGCAAGAAAGGAGCTAGGCACGAGAACAGAACTGAAGCTGTGTATAAA